TCAGACGTGTGCTCTTCCGATCTCCCCAAAACCCCAAAACCCCAAAACCCCAAGGTCAGAGTTTAAAATGAAGGATGACAATGAATAAGTAATAATAGAGAGATAAAACATGAAAGAAAGAGTGTTAATGAGAGGGAAAAGTATTGGTTTATATGTTTTTTGAATTAACAGTGTTATGTAGAAGCTTGGGTGGAACCTTCTACACAATTTGATCCCTGTCAATGGCAATCCTAGTTTCATTCCTCGGCTTGGTGGTGGAGTCTGGCGTTTCTCTCGTCGATGAGGCTGAGCTTGATTCCCTTTTGGGGGAGGAGGGAGATGACTGACTTCTTTCCTTCTCCAATAACGAAGATGTTGCTAACTCTGGTAGCGAAGTGGTGTCCGTTGCCGTCCTTGACGTGGGCAATATCGAAGGATGATGGATGCTTTTCGATGTGTTGGAGAACACCGACTCTTCCGATGTTGTTACCACCGATGATCAAAACTTGAGCTCCGTTTTCGAATTTAATGAGTCCTTCAACTTCTCCGCTCTCGAGATTCAACTATAAAAAAAGGATATTAAATATAAATATTTTCAAAGGAGAAATAGAAAAGTAGACTGTAATCGAATTTACCTTGACTGAGTCGTGCTTCTTGATATCTGGGTGAGGGAATCTGAGTGTTCTACCGTCATGGGTAACGACGTATGGAACTTTGTTGGGGCCGAGAGCCTTTCTCTTGATACTGCAGAGCTTGAATTGAGCTTCCTTAGCGTCGATCTTGTGAGCTTGATATCTACCTTTCACGTCGTAGAGGATTCTGAAGAACTCACCGGTTCTCTCAATGGTGACGACGTCCATAATACCGAGTGGGTACTTTGGATCTCTTCTGATCTTGTTGTCGATCTTAATGAGACCTTCCTTGTCTTTAACGATCTTAATAGCCTCTTGACGAGAAATTGCATATCTCAATCTATTTCTAAGGAGAACTGAGAGGGGGATGCTTTCCCTTCTTCTGTGGGGTCCAGTACCAGCTCTGGTGGCGTAAACTCCTCCTAATTTGTTCAACATCCAGTGGGATGGAGCTGCGATTCTCTTTTGATGCTTCTTAGGTCCTCTTGCCTATGTGGTTTATGATCAATATAGAACTTACCATTTTCTCTGCTAAGATATATATTAATAATAAATAGTTCAGCTTGACCTCAATTCATATATATCACTTAATTCCTAATTATTAGTAAAACTACTCAATATAATTAAATTTTTATCTGAATTAAACATGGGTTAAATTTTAATTTGCTGCAGACCAGCTGATGGAGCGGACACTTCAGCTTTTAGTATCAGATAAAGGAAACTTGGTTTAAGCCCAAGTGAGAGAGGAAACTCAATGAAAAGATCAATAAGTCCTTTCACTACAAATAAGAAGTTTAAGCACAGTGTTGACATAGAATAGGTAAGTAAATATTGGTAACTTATTTCCATCCATTTTTGTCCAATTTCCAAGAAAAATAAAAAATGGGGATTTCTGGGGTATGGGTGCCATTCTTGAATTAATTACTTAGAATGAATAAGTATACTAATAATGATATTGATAGGACTATCCAGTAGGATAGAATGTTTTTGTGTCTAAAGAATGTTTACCTGGTGTTGATGATCAATACATTTAGAAGCAAAATGTCCATATGAAAAGAAATGATTTAAATAAAGTTACACATGGCGATGAAGAGACTACTCAATAAGATGAGTGATAGAATCTTATTTAATGCTGTTATATTCCTGTTTGGATATTCACGACAAATGACATAGAAAAGATACCTAACGTGTAAAATTAAAATAAAACATTTATTTGGAATAACTTTCTCAAATTCTCGTAGTTAATTATCTCACGGGGTTTTGGGGTTTTGGGGAGATCGGAAGAGCACACGTCTGAA